GTTGGGGGGGTACCCCTCGGTATCATTTCTTGCTGGGTATATCCATGCTCTCATCACTCTGAAGGGATATCACCTCTTTCAAATCTTTTCTGTTACTTCACATGGGATGCTGTGCCAATTTCATTACAGAGACAAAGCTCAGACACGGGGAAAGTCGGTGGAATGTGCTGTTTGCCAACTTTGCTGTATATCAGCATTTGAAGCAAGATATGGGACGGAGAGAACCCCCCCCGCCTTTGGGTTGGTCATTTTTTGATCAGAATCTCATGAATCCTTTACAGACTTCGAGGGGGGATGTGTTAGGTAACAATAGTCTAGAGTGTGTACAAGGGTTGGACAGGTAAGGGGGGTACCCCTCCGTCCCATATCTTGCCTGGTATATATATCAGCAGAGATTGTCTTGTTTGGAAACTGCGCTGCAACCAGTCGCGGATCTAAACGATTCAGGTCCACACCAAGGACACAGAGAACATTGCTTCTTTACATAGCTAATTATTGGAATCGTTCATGTGATGGCCAAGCGTGGCTGTAAAACCACAGCACCTTCTTAAAAAGAGATTTCTGGTGCATAGTTAAAGGATATAGTGAACACTTTTGTAGAACAAGAAAAATTTACAAAGTTTATAGGGCCGCGCCCGAACGTACTTTACTACGGCTTGATCATGTCTACGGCAAATGTACGAAACCGCCTACGGCTTCCGTATAGGCAAGCGCGTTATACAGAAACGGCACGTGTACCTGATTATGTTCGCGGCTCATTAAACACTGGGTAGTTTTAAATCACGGCTTCGTGTAGTTACTTCATCCCACATACTGTGAGCGAAGTCCGATTCACCTCCGTATGCCCGTATGTACAAACGTAGCTTTTTTTCCTGAGCCGCGTATGTATCTCTCACCTGCACGACTTCCAATGGTCCCTGTTTGTAGCTACGACAGGGCAGGCACTAAATGTCGTTAAATCTCACGTTCGTCAAATGAAGGGAAAAGTGGCTGTTAACAATAATAAGAGAATATTGCTTGCCTTCCTGCTACAAATTTCTGCCTGCCTGCCCGTTTGCCTGCCTGCCTGTCCGTTTCCCTGCCTGCCTACCTGCCCACCTGCCCGTTTGCCTGTTTTTCCTGCCTCTTTGCCTGCCTACCTGCTACAATTTTTCTGCCCGCCTGTCCGTTTGCCTGCCTGCCTGTCCGTTTTGCCTGCCTGTTTACCGCTTGCCTGCATGCCCGTTTCCCTGCCTGTTTTACCCGCCTGTTTTCCTGCCTGTTTGCCTGATTACCTGACCGGGCTTACCTCTTTCATTTGAGGCTGGAGTGTGCTTTCTTCCTTCTGCCCCCGATGGGTTTCCTCGTTTCTTGATCAGGAAAGATTTAGGCATCGCTGTCAAGTAACACAAAGAAAAAGGCTTTTAAAATATTGTTCATACTTATAATTTTCACTTTCAGATTTCTTTAATGGAAGTCTTTTTTAGACCTTGTTATTTCAAACATGACTGTAATGTAACAGTTTAAACGGTAGTGTTCATTTTGTTTTATCGAGGCTTTAAACGTCTTTGACACTTTTTAGAATTCATTTTGATAATTATTTTGGACAAGACAGGTCGGGCGTACATATAGTTTGACCACAAATACTTGGGTGAATATGAAGTCTATTTACTTTGACCAATCTCTACTGCATAGGCAAAGAATGCAAGATATTTGTGTAGCCTAAGCTATAAGCTCTTCACGTGCGTTTAAGCTATCATGCATGAGCCTGAACTGTCGTGTGCATTAATTCAGATCAACAAATGCCTGTTCCACTGGGTCTTAATTCCAGGCTGCATTCGAAACCACCGTAATAATATTTCAGATTCATCGTCAGATAGGCCTATCTTTCAGTGGTGCAATGGGGCCATTTCCAAGGAGGTTTCTTGCAAGTTGGGGATTTGCACCCAAGTTCCCCCCTTTCAACTTTCTTAGGTGTTGTTTCCTTTTCCCCTTGTTTATTTTTCATTTTTATCCAAACCGAGGCAAAGCCCCAGCCCCCACCCTTGAGATTAACCCCCAGCCCTCCTCGACGCCCTTAATGACGGGAGTGTAGTTAGATATAATTTGGTTCCTGGGGCAGCTCATAACTTTGACCAGATGAAACTGGAATTCGTAGCACAATTTATCTGTGCAACTTAAGACACAAAATCGTGACAATTAACACGCATAATACCACAATACTGCCTGTATAATTTTCGCGTGGGCGATCGAAGCTTGTAGAAATACAATCTTTTGCTTTTGACAGATTTTACCGGATGTACACTTGCCCTATTACTTTAAACCCTAAAAGAGCCGGGGCGGAATCCGCCCCCTCCCGACTTTTTCCGATATACCTCCGCAGTGCATTTTGTTCAGAAGCTGAGCCTTTACGAGGTTTTACAGAAACTCGTTGCTCTCATTTTGACATCAGTTTTGCGAAAGTTGCATCTACCATTCTTGCGTAGCACCAATTTTTTTTCCTAGACGGGTCAACGAGAACTCTATGCTATTTCTAACTGCGACGCCCAATGCGTATGGGCTGGCACGCATTTAGCCTTGAACTACAAATCACCGCAACAAAACCATTCGTGAGATTGACTGCAAACATCGTACTAAATTTTGTAATACATGTTATGAGTGTTTTCACATGCCTGCTAATTTTCAAAAAAAATCGAGCGCGGCACGGTCGAGTTCCTAGGAGGACGGAACCCGCCCCAACCGGCTGTGAGAGGAACCAAAATGACCCGGCTCTTTTAAGGTTAATAGGTCTCCTTCATTAAGCACTTAGCAGTGGAGTGTTTATTATTTTGTGTTTTGCTAAGCGAATTATATTCTACTGTTGCCTGACGTGCTAGCCATGGCTCACTAGCCACTGGTAGGTAAAGCTATGACTGGGGCATAGGAAACAGACAGGCACTATTCACACTGTGAGACACCGTCATAGCAAGAACCTTAACCCCACGGCTCGTCTCTACCAGCTGGGCGAAGCTAGGAAACACGAGTATGAGCCCGTCAGGGTATCACCAGACAAAGCTTGGGCTGTGGGTGAGTTTGGCCCATAAAGTCTGGACTGCCCCTCTGATGAACCTTAGCATGTTTTGAAGTTTGCCCCCCTCCCCACGGCTACGTGCCTTTGCGCACTGTTGGTGTACATGTACATGGGATAAAGGCAATTTCAGACATTAGGGGTCCATTTTTTAAGCAGCTCTAGGAAACTGGCTCCCCGGTATCGGACTTTGTTAGTAGCCCGTTTTATTTCACGCGGATCTGGACCTCGGCCAGTGATCCTGACGCTGGTTCGCACCATCCATTAAGCGAGTCTTGGTGTCCAAAAACCAGCGACAGATCACTGGTCGCGATCCAGATCCGTGCGAAACAAACACGGCCAATGTCGTGGTCTAGGTTTCGAACGTCGAGGTGTCGAAGACAACACTAACCGACACTGGTCCAAGTTTCTACCATGAGAAGCGCCACCATTCGACTTTTCACCAAAAATGGAAAATTAATTTCTACGATAAACTTCATACAAATTCTCACTGTAACGTTCAACAGGATACATGATTTGCACTCGCCTATTTCGGTTCATCTTTGGCTGGCCGTGGGCCATTTTCCAATACTCAACTTCGGCTCCATCTCAGGCTTCAACTGTTTTTTGCTTTTGTTTTGGGGGGGTTTAAGACCTTGCTTTGAAGCTGTAAGCGCACTAATTAGTCTAACAGTGCCACAAAACATTAAATAAGGTGCAAAAGAGCAAAAACGTACAGTAATCCAATTTGATTTCAACGCTTCAGGCCTACAATCGGGGATTCGTTTCGGGGACGAAGCCTGAGACGGAGACGAAGTTGAGTATTGGAAAACGGCCTTGGAACCCTGTAACACATGTCACAGCACTTGCGCAATGATGCAGTCCGATCATTCATATCACCAAGCGCGTACAATGCATGTACATCCAATGTACGCAGTCCATATCTATTACCGTAAGCAACAGACAACCCGGACGACCGTGGTAATTACGCCATCGTTAGCCATTGCCGTTACCCCCACCAAGGGCGCTAAGCATGGATTAAGATTCGTATTGTGCAGAGCCACTGTTCCGTGACAGTCGCTCCGGACAAAACCCAACACAATGCATGCTTGTTTGTTTTTTTGTCATGGGGGGGCATTGAGAATACCCTTACTGAATCCCCCTAAAATCTTCCATTCTTCGTCCATGAGCAAGCTACTTTGCAGTGTTTCGAATCTCCCCTATTCAACTATGACCCAGAACACAACAGGATGAACGTCTCTTGTTGTGGGACACAGTGTCTGTATAGCACGTACGTGACTACATGTACCAGCTTCAGTTATAGTTAGACATGTACATGTATCCTCAATGCGTACAATAATACCGTTATTCGTGTTATGCACCGCTATTATCTTTCTCCGTGACAGATGCCTCTTTCGCGTACGTGAGCATGCGTGGTCAAACAGAACAACTCACGGGAATAATACTTGTTACAACACTGATCCAAAATTGCACAAATTTCACAGTGGAGCGGTTGCACGTACTGCACTCAGAAAGGTCCCGGGTCAGATAGACCCAGAATTGAGTCCCATTCGGTGTGACCCTTTCCGGGTCAAATTAAGACCCAGACAGGGACAAATACGACCCGAAAGGGGTCAGTTTTGACCCAGAAAAGGGTCACTCCGAATGAGACCCAATCCTGGGTCAATCTGACCTGGGAGTTTTTTGAGTGTGTACAATTGTATTAGCTGTATTGAGGTAGTCTATAACATTGATCCTCCCATTAAACACTGTCACAGGTCCTGCTGAATCAACAATTTACTGTGGGTAGGCTCTACGTGAGTAAGCAGAAACATGGAAATACTTACCGGTCACCGACAGCTAGCCTCCTGTACGCCGTTGTTGAAGGCCTCCAGACCCTCCCCTGCCCCGATCTGGTTTGATGTCAAATGTGGCGGAATTTATCTCTTTCCCCCTTTTACGGGTCTGGTTCACGATCAGACAATTCACGGCCATGCCAACACATTTCAAAAGATTGCCCCCTTACCGGGGATCGAAAAAAAATTGATCACAAAAGAAAGCATTGCCAGACAAGCAACTCCACGATGCGGAACGGACCGGTCCCAATGCGCGCCACGAGTGTGTATAGAAACCGTTACAACTCATCCATGTCGTCAGTTCATATTTGTCACGGGCTGGCTAATATGCATTTTCGCGGCTGTTTTTCAGAGTAAGATATCTTCGTAAATAGCCTACACGTGTGCACCCTTCAACGGAAAGTCACCTTGACCAACCGAGCGTGTTACTTTTCGCTTTGTCAGTCGTCGACCTGGATTCAGATCTACCATGAGCGGGACACCTCTACACCCAGCGCCTGGGTCTAACAGTTTGGCTTCAGTTCAATAACACATGAACACGGGTACTTCCTTTTCGTTTTACGAGTCGAATTCCCACAATGGCTTAAGCGAGCATGAAGAAAAGTAAAATCCATCTGACACTCTTTCCTATACAGTTCGTTCCAGTATTTACTAAAAAACAAAATTGGTGTTGTTGGCTAAAGGTAATTCAATTACATATTAAGGTAAACAGGTATTTTTGTGTTTTGTACTGGACGGTTCTTTATTCTTAAGTCCACAAACAATATTACATAAAATTAGCCCCAATTAAAAAGCACAATATTTTACTTTTTTAAGAACTCTGTTTGTTACATGTAACACAAATCAAGCGAATTGCACAATTATAATAAGACTTCTCTCACATACAAACTCTTGTACAGTTCCGCGAAAACTCAAAAAGTAAAAGGTTATTTCATGCGACGAAGAGGACGGGGAATAAGCAGTTAATATACATTGGCTAGAAACAACATGGCATCAGTTGAAAACAGACCCATGATCTGCAAAAAATAGAAGCATAAGAGGCCTTGAAAACTATCAGACTGGTGCATGGGACAGAGAAGTATGCTTTTTTTTTGGTTTGGTAAAACCACTTGACGTCGCCCCAGATGCCATGCCATTGACGTCGGCTTTCGATGGAACCTCGAGTAAAACTCTGGACCTGTTTGCACGGGAGGGGGTGTCGCCCTTCACGGTCTAGACATGGAGAAGCAAAAGTTTATCTACCCTCAGTTTTCCCCTTTGCGCACCACGGGAGCCTCAAAGATTCCTTCCATGTCACATTACTGCGCACGAGAGAAATGCACGAAAAACCTTCGATAAAACACGACGCATTACAAACGTGAGAGATCAGCACCTTAGGCCCCCTACCAAACAACCACCACTCCAGTAAAAGAAGGCAAAATTCCTACACAAACTATAAATGCACCGTCTACATATAACCGTCTACTTTCTACAGCTCTAAATGTGAAGAATCCCTCTCCAAATATATGGCATACGAGGTTAAAGAAAAGAGATAATTCGGAACTAACATAGCTATATCATTTTATCTACCACTAAGGAAAACTGAGAATACGTACGTATTTCCAGTGTGAATTATAAAAGAAATTCAGTTCGTTTGTAAAAGGGGTCCAACGGCAAATCTGCAGTTGTTCAATTTCAGTGCATGGACATTAATCTACAACGTAAAATAAGGAACCTAAGAGCCCTAGTCAATGTTTTCGCAAGAACCTGCAGGAGCCAATTTCATACGCACAAGATTTGCTTAAGCGCAGAAAACCTTGCAAAATCTTTGTGATTGCCATGCTGTACAAAAGACAGATGAATACCATTCCAAAACCGTATGTACATCACATAAAGTTTTAGCTGGTAACCTGATTTGTCAAGCAGGATTTTTTCATGCTTAAGCAAATTTTGTGCTTAGTAGCTCTATGACATTGCCCCCCGCCCTGGGTTTTACAGCTTACGCAAAATAAAGAAAAACAGTACACAGCTACATTTTACGCCAACGCATGCACGGGAGAGACACATTACACTTGATTGCACTAACAATTGTGTTCACACGCATTTTGACTGTCCAACCATGAACATATATGTACATGCAGTAAACAGGTATAAAAGTATGTCGGTAAGGTTAAGTCCGACAAAGACCCATTTTTACCTTTCTAATCTTTCCAAATACTTTGTTACCCACTTCAAGGTGTAAGCTTTCTAGAATAACAAGGCATAAGCTATTACCCCGGAAAAAAGAAACAAGTTTACACCCAGGTAAGTTAGGACACGTTCGAAGTACTTGTCTGCAGCTTGGAATTACGCATGAGTCAATGTTACCGGCCATATGGCAGCTGCCCATATTGGTAGCGTTTAATTTCAAGCCGCCGGACTCCAGCTTACTTACTTACACTTTCCCTATTCAGCATACATATCCTATGGTGGTGACTTGTTTTCGCAAGTGCAACCTGGCGTAAAAAAACATTTCACCGGCGTGCAATCGCCAGAAACCGTACTGGGCGATGTTTTGGATAGTGTGAGACTATCAAGAGTCTGATAAAAAGAACTCTTTCATACCCATCTGCAGAGAAGCATGCTCTTTTCAGCGATGTTCGATCCTTGTCGACAAAGAACGGTCACATTTTGTGCAAGCCGTCACGTTTAGCCCGGCGAGCAATCGCACGATACAGCTACGTACATGTTCATTCACACACACACAGGTTGAGTATAAAAATACAACCATACAAAAATACAACTCCATCAGTGAACATTTGGCAAAAAAGAACGAATTTCAGATCAATCTGTCCTATTGCGTTATAGTTGGACTGCACTGCAAACACAGAGATGCACCTTCTAAACAAAGGCATTTGCTAAGTTTGGTGCTCAAAATGGTGGCAGTATGGTACGTCTTTCGAGTTCGGTTTGGTTGGCCCTTATTCCTTTTGGCAAAGACAATATTTACACGGGTCATATTTCCCTGAGAGAGCGAAGCGTATTTCAGACTTGCGAGAATTATTTTAAGTGATTTTTCTTTTCCTTTTATACAAATATTAAAATCTTAATGCTTGGACGGTTTTACATTTTACATTTAAAATTGATTTCCAAACGACTCATGCACGTAATCTTGATGACAAGTGAAAGAAAATTACAAGCTTCACGCGGGGTTGGGGAACCTCTACCCAGCCTAACAAAATGAGTCATTAGTCGTCGGAGCCACTTTCGAAAGAATCACGCATCATCCCCTCCCCCCACACACAAATACACACCACCGCCGTCACTGTGACTTCACCGGAGTAGTGTCCGGCATCCCGTTTTCGGCGACGACGGAGGACGTCGTCGGTCCCGGAGGCGCCGACGAGCCGCATGTCGTCGGCGGTTCGGCCAAGCTGACGCGGTCGGGCTGACCGACGTCATCGGGCGACGTCGCCCCCTCGCCCCGGCGCAGGAGCTTCTGGAACTGCAGCTTGTCCTGGAACTTGAGCAGTTCGGCGCTGTTCGGGTGGGCGTCGCGGATGTGGGCGTAGTGCTCCTCCGCCTGCTCTGTGGTGGCCCCGCACTCCTCGCAGACGAAGACCTTGGAGCGCCGCTGCTTGAAGTTGTAGTCGTGGAGGAGGCGGTGTACCTTGGACAGGTGGGACTCCAGCGAGCAGCGCTGGGTGAAGGCCTTGCTACAGTGCTCGCACTTGTAAGGACGGACGCCTGCAGACGAAAAATAGACAAGATAACACTTGCCGTCTTGAGGATTCTCCACTTTGCTCGCCTTACCTCACTTTGCCTGTTACTCTGGTTAGACTGCCACCTTAGCCGACATTTGGTTTGTAGGGTCGTTTCGTACTTCAATGGAATTTGCTAAACACGATGATAGAGTTTCCCTTCCATCCCTAACACTGAGCAATGGACAAGAATCGTCCCTTTGGCACCCGATTCAGACCGTCGGACCAGACTCGCACCGAACTGATAATCCCAGGATTTAAATTCTTTCCATGAAATGCGTGTAATTAGAAGCAACTACCCGCGCAGGACGTCGAAGGATCGACTGTTGCAGTCGCTCGGAACAACTGTGAAAGGCTCGGTTTAATACGCTATTCCTTTTCATGAGCCAAGCTCAACGACTATTTGTGTAAATACAAGCGGAAATTCGAGCTTTGAAATTCACATTCCCAGAATCACAGCATTGGTGCGACACATGCCGTGGTAAGCGTATGACTTCAGTTCATGTTGATTACTTGGTGATTCATGCATAATCATGTATCACCAAGTAAGTTGAACAGACAAAAATAACTGATGGGTCTGGTCACTTTGGAACTATATAAATTGTTTGTCTATCATTCATTTATTCAAAATATGACTGGCTGCCACAAAGTCAAACGTCTACTGCAGCAGATCTCCAGACGAATTAGGCCATAATGCAAACACCGCAATTCAGCGTATATCGTGTATATGCGGACTTCAACGCTTTAATCCCAACAAGTTGGGTTCTGTATAGGGAGGACCATAGCCTGAGGCCAAGACAATCGCCACGATCATTGCGTTTAGGTCCACCTGGGCATATACTGCTTGAGAAAAGACTACCGCACGATTCCATTCACGACAGGTGGCCAAAGCAGGATAAGACTAGCACCCGTAAGTCTAATGTCAAGGGCTACTGTTCTCGTGGATGCATGTTGTCGCCGAGGCTGCCTTGACTAAAGGCTAGGGGCTCCACCAAGTACATGCATCACTCGATTCTTTTGATAGGAAAACAAGTGATTCTTTTGATGGGAAAAAGGACAATGGAAATCACTCTCCATAACTGTCTCATGGCGCAATTGCGCTACAAATAGAACAGGATGCATGCATAATTCTTGCCCTGAGGAGAGCAACAAGAACTCAACCCAAACCGTTGTGGAACTATTTTCCCCATTATTACAGAGGAAGCCAGACGTAACGACTGACCTCTGTCTAGAAAGCCCATCTGTCGCTGAAGCTTATAAAAATGATTAGCGAAATCCTATTCGGTCAAAGAGCCAGACACAACACAACTGCAGGGATGAATTGCGCACGCATGGGTGGTTAAGGGCAGGGACGATCACATCAAAATATTTTCATGGAAACCACGAGCATGTGTGAAATGTGTACTAACTATTCCCTTTAACTAAGCCATTTCAAGATACAAGATTCGCACTGAAAAATGGCTGCCCAGGTTTACCCGTACACTTATGTGGTGTGGATAATCGCTTTCGAAAATCTGGACAAACCTTGGTATCCAAGATTGACCCGTGTCTGAGTCGGATTTGCAAGAAAAAAGTACAGCTGGATTTGGATCTTCAGTCAGTATTAAATTATTTAAGTATAATTATCCTATTTCAAATACGACGGAAACAACAGGAGGGCGCTATTTGGGTTTGGTAGAATATTCTCTGCTTACTCCAATTCACACGCTTGAAATAGTGCCCTCCTGTGTCCGCTAATTTAAAACAGTCTAAAAAACAGTGTCCTTGTGGAGGGTTAGCCCATGGTGCGTTACACCGTGCTTGTACTACCGCAGTACTTTATCCCCACGAGCAAAAGCCGGATCGGTCGATCGTGGTAACACTATGTTCCATGACATTTGCTCCCGACCGCACAAACCTTTCCGCCAAATAAAGGGGTCATTTAAAAGTGGCTAGATTCATATGTAGAGCAGCGATCTTTTTGAGTATGCGTAAGTGGAACATTCAGTTGTTGTGATAATCCACGTATCAGTGGTTTCAATGAAACTCTACACAGTCGAGAAAACCAGACTTACCTGTGTGTGTTCGGACGTGTCGCTTGAGATCAAAGGTGTCGTTGAAACCTTTGCTGCAGAAGGCGCAGTTGTATCGCTTGGTGGCGCTGTGGCACTTCATGTGTCGATTCAAGAGACGCTGCAAGGGAAACACTTTGTTGCAGACTTCGCAGAGAAACGAGGTCTCGCCAAGAGTGACCCCACTCGACAGGTGGTTGCTGTTTCTTGATCTTCCGGGAGCACGCTTCAAGGGAGCGAAATGGGTTTCGGGTTGGCCCGGGCGAGAGGGCACCGGAGCTTGCGTGCTGGGCGGATTCATTGCCCTGTTTCGGGGCTGCGGTGGTTGCGGCTGGTTCATTGCACTGTCAGTTGTCAGAGTTGTGTCGGCGGTTGTCGGAGTTGGTTGGGAAGCTGCAACTGCTGAGTTGACGGGGAGTGTGTATGGAGACGGGTGATGCACAGGAGCAGTGTATGTTGAGTGATGGAGAGCAGGGCATGGCACAGTTGTCAAGGGTTGGAGAAGACCATCGCCAGACTGTGAAGGATTCGACGGCGGCAAGGGCGGACTGGTGTACGGTGAGAAAGCATAGCACTGAGGAGGATGTACCCTGCTCATGGGATAAGCCTCAAGTGGGTGCCCAACTGGGTGGGTGTGTTGGTACGGCAGGGGTGAGTAGGCACCCCCTCGGGATGGATGAGTGTGTGCGCCGCCATGTTGCGAACTGACGTCACCGTGGCAAGGGTAAGGTGTCATCAACGAGTTGGTGGTGTATGTTGGAGGCGGCATCATGGTCAGCCTCGGGTCGTAGACGAATCGGTGATGGGGATAGGGCGGCAGCGGGAATGGCTGGGGGTGTTGATACAGGTCGAGGGGTGGGGCAAGGGGACCAATGGGAGGTGGGGTATCGTTGATCGGGCCCTTCGCGGTGTAGCTTGGAGCAGGCAGGTGGCCGTAGATTGGCGGTGGTTGCGGTAACTCTTGGTCGAAGGGCCTAGTGTCCACCATTCCTCCGTGCATGAAGAGGTGCGTGTATTGTTCGCATTGCGTAGACTGTGGTTGGTTTGAGAGACTAGCTGCGACGTCTGGGGTCGCACGTGATGAGCTGCTTGGCGTGGGCGTGAAAGGAGAGAGTTCACTGGTCTCCTCGCTCAGATCTGTAGAAGGCACTCTCCCCGATTGTGCTGTCGTCTCAGGCGCCATCTCTGCACACTTTTCACCCTCTCTGCAAACTTGCGGACTATCGCCACCGCCGGCGCCATTACCTGCGAACTCCCGGCCAGATCTGACCACGCTGCTGTCACTTTCTCCCGATTGCGACCGTTGTGATTCGTCATTTTTACAGGGTTTCTCGACTGGACGGGGGCTAGCCTCCGGACTGGGCTGCACGAGCTTTTCACTCACGTTACGGCCACCCCGAATCGGAATGGCACGGCTCCCTTCGCTGGCTGACTCTGAATTTGCTGGGTGTTCTCCGCACGAGGGATTCCCGTTTGTGGCCAGACTTAATGAGATGGAAGCCCTCTTGTGGCGCTTGCGTGGGGGGAGGTGTTCCGTCGGTATGCTGGCCAGGCCGTGTGCTCCCGAATTCCCGCCGGTAGGCAGTCTTGCAATGCCTGCCCCGTTTTGACGTTGGTGCTTCTGATCGTTGTTTGGTTGGTCATTTTCCGTTTTGTCGTTACCTGTCGGCAAACGCCTGGCAGCACCTGTGCGCATGTCTCTGTCTTTACTGATCGTGACATTTCTAGCCTCCATAAAAGTTTCAGCATTACCGGATAAGTCTTGCATTCGTGCAGAGGTATTTGTAGCACTGAGAGAGCTGTTGACGAATGCAATGTTACTGAGGGCACTGTTGATAAAAGCTCTGCTGTTGAGATGACTGGTGGGAGAAGCCTTTCCCTTCAGCGCACCATTTGAGGATTCAACATTTTGACCGAGAGTGCTGCTGGCGCATGTGTTTTTGGTGGCGCTATTGAACGAACTCAGGGACGTTGGTCGATCGTCGCTGTTAGTGATCCGAAGGTCTTTCTTGTTGATTTTGACTACGAGACTGATAGGTCTCCTCGTTTGAACACCGGTGTCATGGCTGCAATGGCCGCCAACTTCGCCTCTTGTCACATCTCTTTTACATTTCTTGCCAGTGTTCGTGTCCAAGGTGTCTTCATCGCTCGAGCTGGCCTGACGCTGAATGTCGCCATGCCAGAGAGATGGGGCGCCCTCAGTCACCTCAAATCGGCTCTGTATTTGATGGGATTTCCAGGGTCGGCTTTTCTCGGGGCTTCGAGGCGCTCTATGGTCGGCGCTTGCAGGATGCAGGGGGTAGGTACCGGCGATGGTATTTTCTTTTGAGTGTCCACTTGACGAAGAGTCGACCCCTCCCAACACATCTTCTTTATTCCATGTGCTGCTTTGGCAGTTGCCAGGAGGACTTGACACTCGTGGTGTGGCAGTCAAATCTGGCGCTTCTTGCCGGGACAAAGGAGCGGGCTGCAACGGGAAAGCGGAGACGTTTTCCCGCGGAGAGATTGAACCCTGAACGCCACGGCTGTCTTGCATCCAAGGGCGGCAGAACGACTCTAGACCCGGTAAATTTGGCGTTGGTCTACCTTCCCGTCCCTTGAAGCCTCCACGACTGCTTCCCGCGCCATTTTGCCAGTGCAGTCGGTACCACTCTGACACCCCCGTGAGCAGCTCCAAACCGCTGGAGGGCGCACCGCACGGCTGCAAACGGTGGCAAGGTGGATCTCCCTTTGAGGGTGTGGTGTGCTGTGCTCTGTCTAGGCGTTCGTTGTGCTTGTGAATTCCTTTTACTGCGGAAACGACATATAAAAAGCATGGGTTATGAGCGTTTAAAATTTTTTCAAGTTCATCCTGCCTGCACGGCATTTGAATTGATAACACTGCATGCATGAACTGAGGTTCGATCAGCGACCGTGTCAAACTTGCCTATTTTCCCTGGTAACCGTTGCACAAAATCAACATCAACTAGTGGTTAACCAAAGGTCGGATATCGAACTTTCAAGAGGAGAGGGGAATCTCCTCTACCAGGTTGCGCCCAGGCGCCCAAACGTGTTTCATACAAATGGAAACATTCCGAGCCAAATTGTCAGAGTTGACCCCGCTTCAACAGCGATGACCTTGCCGCTAGTAAACAAGTTCCTCTTCCGGGTTTGCTCACGTTCCCACTGCCAAACAATAACCGCAAGAGGTTATTTGCAGACACTGTGGGGGAAAATGGTTGAATGTTTGTCACCTCCACCAAGTTTATTTATTGACAAGCGGCAAAAGAAAGACTAACTGTGTTGCCTGGATGAGCGTAAACCGCGTGCATCGGACATGGCATGTACATGTAATGCTTAAGGAGGAGAATATTGAGACAGATATTTAAAAAAAGGTTTAATATGTGTAGTTATTTTTCTTTTCCGTTTATTTATTATTTAATTTTTTTACTTTCCCAGAATAGTTTACAATAAAAACCAATGATTTAACTGTGCACAGAGCCCGGTAGAAACTTGACAGTCGATAGAGATTTTCCCCTATGTTTTGAGATTCAAGATGGACAATTAAATGACTATCTAGGATTCCTTGAAATGATGATAAGCGATCGGATTTTACCAAAGTGTTAAGTCCGTGTGGTACTCGGGTTATGGAGAATGCAAGGTGGACAGTTGGGAGAAAAGTACTTCACCTTTGCGCACGTTCGACCCCATGGGAGCTTTCGCTTTATTTTTGCAAGCAACATTAATGTCGTATAGTCATTTAATAGTCAGGAAAAAGCATAATGCTGCCCGACCTCGCCGCGGGGACCGATCAGTTGCTCTGGAGCAAAATACTTTTTCTGTTTCCCCCCACTGTTAAATCGGGCTGGGCGTAAACAAAAAAAAAAGAAAGAAAAAAAGAAAAAAAGATTCAACGCAGGGGAACAATAACTTTCCCACCTCCCGTGGCTGGCTGTGCTCATTGTTACGCGTTACAGTTAATAACCCCAAACTTGACACCATTCAGGTCCCGCTCGGCACTCCCAACAAACGATATGGGAAATTTAGCGGTCGGGAGTGGAAATGACAGAACAGGGGTAAGAATTGTTTCGGGTAAACAGATACCCCCAAATTTGTTTGTTTTTTTATTATTATTTACAGGCTGACTGTTCCACGTTGGTCGAATTCTTTGTTGCTTATGTTTGGCGTTTTGCCCAAGCCTTTTTTAAGATGGCTCCATCTGACGTGATCTCTTCACGGGCATGGAGGGGCGTGGACCTAGGTCTACGTGTGGGGGCCCCTCTTGGGGATCCTTTTTGCGTGCGCAACGCATCTCTCAGCGGTGTCCGTGTAGTCTGTGTATCTCCGAGGCTCTCCCGATCGGAACATTTAAAATGTTGGCAGCAACGTCCATAATGCCAACACGTGTATTAGTCTAAACGTATGTCAATTTTTGGATTTTTTTCAGATCTGCCAAATCTCTAAGCATTATCTACAAGACAGTGGCTTCTCTCAGCCTTCTGACACGCTAATCAGGTGTGAGTAAATGCACAATATGTGATGATAGTTCATCCATAGTTTGCAATTAAAATAATAGCTTTGACTTTGTGAATTTCTTCCGAGTTATACCCTTTGAATCACCTGATCTCTGCCAGTCGTCTTTTCAATTTCATTCATAAGCCTTGCATGTATTGAACGTCATAATTGCTACAGCGCACAACGAAAACAAAGGGCATAGAGTTCAGATCACAATACTTGGAATGTTCTCTGCCGCAATAAAAGCCCACTCCAGTCATTAGAAAGCATATCAGTTTGCAGCCGCTAACATTTTAACTTTTAAGGCGAGCACTCACACATTTTTTACACGTCTATAGTATAAGGGTCAATGTCATTTTATGAGTGATTGATGTGATATTAGTAATGACAGTACATGTATATTTGTTTATTATTATTGTTTCTTAAAACATCAAATTCTCGCGGTAAAAGACCGAATTGTAATTTGATTTATAGATAAACAATACCACCTACAGAAAAACTGTTGAAAAAGACAAAATTATTAAGCTAGAGAGATACATGTACGTATATACAAAAATCATGTTTAAAAATGATAAAAAATATCAAATATATATGAGATTAGGGGGCCATATCATTGAATGAGACTGCTTTGTTGTGTGATCTGGTTCCGTGCCGTTCCCCCGAGGCAGAGGATTTTGCCCGACTACCACCCACTTCGCTGCAAGTTGACGGACCGCGACGTGTTCTAAGTAGACAGTTATATTACCAAATGTCAAAATGGCATTTAATACCCGTCAAATCTAACTCCCGTGCCCGCCGAGGGCTGTTGCCAAATAAGAGGGCTTTGTTGGCAGAGGGGAAACTTTTGTTGTGGTGCAGTGAGTTTGGTATTGTATGAAGCAATCCGTTGGTCTGGTCAGACGAGGCTGGAATCCCGTTTTTTTGTCTGGTCACAATCCATAATATACTGAAGAATGAAAAAAGGGTTTCTCGAAGGTAGCTAGAACTCCATTATCACAGAGATCTTCAATGAATTTCATTATGTAAAAGACTGACATCGCAGTCAGGGCATTTTTACGACAACTGCCGGCCAGAGATTTATAGAGTTTGGTGGTCAAAACTAATTTTAACTAATGCGTCCGTAATCAGCACTAATTATAAGGCGTTTCAGAAGAGTTCGTCTTGAAAACAACTGGACTTTTGCCACACGTTAATTGATCATTATGTTCTCTCAATTTAGCGACAAATTCACATAGGTGCATGTGTATAAACCAGAAAAGTTGAAGCTGGTCACGGAGATTTTAAGTAAGTCCAGATGACCAGATTCATAATTGTGTTGCTGATGTTTCAAAATAAAGACACTGGTCAATATTTTGTCTCGTTCCCATAAGCCGACTGAGGATTGTGAGACCATGGGTTTTCGCTACGGAAGGTTTTCATATGGGTAGAAACACACACAGCGTCATGTAAAAAAAAAGAATAGATATCAGAAACTGAACTTTTAATCTTCATTACACTAATCTTCCACAACTCAACTCGTTGGGTTAAGATTGTATATATCGCCCTACACTTTGACCAGGCGGATGGGCTTATAGATTCCCCCCCCCCCTTCGTGGTGAGACAAAACTTAGGGCGGACTGTGAAGAATTTTTCGGACTTCCCAATAATCAATATATCTTGAATAGCACTCACAAAAGAGAAAAATGCCGTTCTGGTGTGAGATTCGGATGTAATGCATATTACAAATGTACCTCTGTGTCATAAATCATCCCCCAAATTACAGTGTCCTATGGATGTCAGCACCACTACCTTCGACCCCGCTGTTCAATTTTCCACAGCCCGGCAAGTCAACCCCCACTATTCTCCATCCTCTCCCTACCCCTACTTTCAGGCACAAATTTACGCCCCTGGAAAATGGCTGTAGAAACCTTTGGTAGTTGTGGGTACTGAAATTCGTCCAAGTGGCGTTGTTCAGATACGTATGCTGTATATCTTTCTCCATAAAATAATTATTCGGCGTAGTTTGGAAAGAAGGGGTTTAATTGTGTCCTTCCTATCAGTGACGTGTACGTGTGCCATTGCAAAGGACTCACACGTAAAGCGCATCCACGGAGGAAGGTCGCCTGCAGTGTGTCGCAGCTTGGAGGAGACAAAGATTGCACTTGTTGGGTCATTTATTTGCACTTCGGCGGAATTTGTGTAACAATAGCTGAACGGAGAACGGTGGCCGGGCGCTCTACCAGGAATTGTTACGTAACTAAACAACCGGTCGCGGGGAACACAACACAGGATTTTTACAATATAGCTGGCCGTAAACCGGGCTTAAGGTAAACGACCTCAAATACACCCGGCTGTGTCTACACAGAATATCGGGAGAGGTGCTAATTGACTGGATCTTGGAACAGATAAGGATGCGGAGACGTGCGGTTGTGTTGGAAGGATAGAAGGGTGGCGTTGCCTGTGAACATTTGAAGCATATTAAAAGTGCAACACGTACCATGCACGTACAGACCCAATGAATTTCAATTCCATTCACGTATTCACTTGGCGTCCAAAAGCAAACAGTGGCATGTTCTAGGACGGTAACTTCGCAACAAGTATACC